TGCCACTCCTTTTGTTACACCCATCATATAAAATTCCCCAAGACACAGTGACTGTGACTATTTAAAGGGAAAATGTAATAAATTGTACAAGACAGAAGAAAATGCATCACTGGAGAAAATCCCCCATTCTATGCACTGGGACGGGTGAGATGAATCAGCTACCTTCAAACTCTTCTGTGTCTTACTAAGCACAGCATTTGCTCTTTAGACTCAGTAAACATGTAGCATCTGCAAGCCTGACCCATAGTCTGAAAAGCAGATTAGAGTGTATACAGTTCTTTTTTTAGTCTATATTTCTGTTTTAATTATCCATAAGAAAAATAATATATTGTTGGCAAGGCTAGTGTCAGTCTTGTGCATGAAAGGAGCCATAGTAGAAAGAACTCTGTTCTAATAGTGTCTGCTTCCATCACCATTTCTCTGAATGGAGAAATATCCCCAAACCAATGTCTGTGATCCAGTTTGTCTAACTCTGTAGTAGAAGAAAAACATTCATAACTGTAGAGAGTGTTCCTATCTTGGCACCTGTATCTGAATATAACTGCATCCTTGTGAGGTGCTTGCTCCTAGGCAACGTATTTGAAGGGTTCAGAAACTTTTAAAAACAGCCCTAAATATAGTGCTAAATATAGTATAAATTAAAAATACCTCTCATTTCAAAACCAGTATGTGACAGTCAAAGGTAGTCAAAATTCTCCATGGATCATCGGAAGTATTTTGTATTCATGGGAGATAAGAAGGCATACTTGGGCTATATGGGCTTCACTTTGTTTATTTTAGCAAATCCCCTGTACAGAGATTTCAGATTTTGTTAGTTCCCTTGCCTATGCACCTTTATTAGCAACACCACAATTTCACTGGATACACTTTGAACTCAAAATCTAATGCTGAAAGTCAGGAAGAGCTCTGCAGTGAAATGTGTGATTGTGTAATATATCTGTTGTATCAGTTTGCTGATTGTCTTGAGAAAGAAAATATTAATTCAGTGCTATTAAAATAATTACTAAATGGCAGCAACCAGAGAAAAGTATTCGTGCACAAACGAATTAAGTCATTTACCAGCATATTCAACTTGTTTATCAAAATGCCTATGGGCCTGATTGCAAGAGAAATGCAGCTATGCCAAAGGAAATCTGTCCAAATCCAACACATTTTGAAAATCTGTGTCTAATTTTGTAGAGTTTGTTGATCTTCACTAGGCTTTGCTAATTTAAGATAGACATTATAATTATTTTCTGCTCTTTTCCACTCTCTGATTGGGGCTGGACTACCACTAGGCTCAGAAGCCAAAGTAGTTTGTGCTTGCCAAAATTGCAGACATTACCCAACACCAGTCCATGCAAATTTGTACCCTCGGTGGGTAAAATGAACCAAATGCTTTAGGAGGATCAACAGGTTGATGCATGGATGTCTTAGGCAGGTTCTTTACCTTCAGACAGCTCTTTTGGGTAAATGCCTTGTTCTCTGCCCTGGGACATGGGAACATCAGGACTGTCCCTCTGCTGAGGAGCTCCCTGTCCCATCTCTCTTCTGCATGACCTTGGAACCTGAACTCTCCTTTCTTGTGCATGACCCCCTTCACCCACTGTGGGCATCCTCAGCGGCTGTACCTGTGGGATTGGAAGACTTAAAATCAGTCTCTGATTGTATTCTCCATTTATTTGCGCTGAAAATCATGAACCAGTTCAGATTCCCTGCACATCGTTGCAAACTTTGCTAATCCTGTCTGTGAGTAAGCTTTGAGGTTCAGGTTTATAACTAGAGATGAAAACTGCTGGATTTCCTATAGTCTTGTCTGAAATAGTTGAATAGTTTATAAGATCTAAGGTTGGTGTCAGCTTTCAAGCTCTACAGGACTGCCCAGATAGGTTGAATGAGATAAACATGTTTCCTGTTCAACAAAACTCTCCCTGCAAATCTTTTATAAATCCAGCACGGACCTTTTGTAGCTTAAAAAACAAATCAAGTTGTTGCAGGCATCTTATTTTTATGATGTTTGCAATTCTCAGTAGGGTTTGGTCAGACACACAAGATTGTTGTTTCTGGTGCAGTCATGTACAGGAGCTATAAGTCATTTCATGATGCTGACATCAACTGAAATTTTTGAATCAGATTTCACAGTGAAAGAAGTGCAGATTTATGGTTTTAATTTCAGGAAATCTTTCAGATAATTTTGAGACTGCATTCTTGGAATCACTTTCAGTTTAACTCATCAGTGGTTGAGTTGCTTTTATCCTCTGGTGTAGTTATTTTGATAAAAACAAGGTTAAAGATTTCTTTTGAAAAGGAGTTTGAATGTTGGTGTTTGGATAAATACATTCCTTTAATGCAGGACAACACCAGTTTTAGCAAATAATACGTTTTGGCATTAACAGCCTCATGTTTTTTTGGAACAAGGAGAAAATGGAAGAGTAAAAGGAAGTTTCCAGTTCTGCCTAATGAAAGGCCAGGCTTTTGATTGATGTAAATTGGTACAGCTTTGTTGACAGCCATGGACTTACAGTGATTTACTTCAGTGAGTGACGTAGTCCATGGATTGCTATGTCTGGGCTTCTTAAACTGGCAATTTGTCGTGTCTGTTTGTTCACAAGTCCAAATCCTTTGCAGTGCTATTCTGGGCTTATGCAGAAGGGTGTGAAATGTCAAACTGAGTGTTTTTCCACTTGATATTTTTCCAGATTTCTTTTGTGTCTCTGTAAAAATCTAACCATTAGCACTGCCTTTTCAAGGACCTTTCTATCTGTGATTTCAATGAGGCAGCCAACTAATTATAGTCTCATCAAAGAACAATTAACGTAATCCTAAGGATTTTTTATTTGGTGCCTGCAGAGCCTGGGTAACCAGTTCTGGGTAGCCAGTTCTGGGTAGCCATGCAGCAGATGGTACAAAAAGACACAAGCCTTGGGTTTCCATTTCTTTCCTGTGGGGGGAAAAGCCTGGTGAATGAGAAACATTTAAAGATAGTCCCTTAGAGCATAGTAGGTCTGTATTAGATGTGGTGAGTGTGGGACAAAATGGTGTGGGAAAAAATGCTTGTAAATTAAAATATTAAAACATAATGAATCTCTTCAAGAATTCTGGAGTCAATACGTTGTTTTCAGCGAATGTGGCTTTCTCAGTTCTTACTCAGCTCAGAGGTGCTGGCAATGACACACCATCCAAACGAGCAGCTCCTTGTGCTGCCACTGACACACAGCTGTGGCTGAGCAGCCTTGGCCTGGTTTGATGATCTGCTACCTGGTGGTCAGATCCTGTAGGTTCAGGCGTCAGGTTAGTGCTCATTAAAGTCAAGAGAAGAGTCTTTTAGATGAAATAACAGAGGTCGGACCATGTCAAACCTCTTCACTGTAACTTCAAATGAAACTTCTCTCTGTGCTCCTATGGCACAGATTTTTCTGATGCTTTCCAAAGGAGATGAAGTTATATTCTATAATCTCTGGATATGCTGTCAGTTTAAGAAGCAGATGGCTCATGTATGGATTTACTTGAATTTCAATTCCTGCATCAGAAGGGCAAAGATTCAGCACTTCCAGAATATGACTGGAAGCTGTAGTTCAGATGTGCCCTTATTTCAAAATAGTTGTTGAAGGGAGGGAACCTGTTACTCTCACATGGAAAGAACAGTTCTTGAACTATTACTCTGAAAGTCTTACCACTAGTCCTATTATTAGCCTACAATAAATAATATAGTTATGAAAAATATTAGGTTAATAAGGATACTGTGGTGCTCAGTCTCTCCCCAAAAAGTGGAATTCTGTATTACAAAGAAATTATTCTCATTTCTTCTTTAAAACTGCTTTTTGCATTAACAAAATATTGAGGCTTTTTTTTTTTTTAAGGACTGTGTCATTTGCATAGGTATCTTGAATAGAGAAGAGTTTTATTAATATCCTTCAGCTACTCACATGCCAGTTGCTAGGAGATTTTGGGACATCCCATGATGTTCCTCTGACTGGTGTTACACAGAGCCAGCTGGGGCACAGACAACTGTGAGCCTCAGATGTTAAAATGCATTCAGGTTCATGTGCAACTCGCTGACTGCAGCTGCATCATCAAATGTTGGATGCACAATATTTATCCACCCCCAATCCACAGAACTACCTTTTTTCCTTCTCTTGAATTTTTCTGCAGCTGTTTTAGAGCTTATGGTGAGAATTTTCAAAGTCATCTAAATGACTTTGGGGCATAGTCCTCCTAACTGTAAATATTAATTAAGAAGCTTTGAACACATTAGTTACATTCTGGTGCTTTTAGGCTAATTTTTTTTTTTTTTCAAAGCTGATTATGCAGTAACTCTTAGAGAATGTTAAACACAAAATAGGGAAACACAAAACCCAAACTAATTTTCTTTTAGGGGAAAAAAACAAGAAAGCATTAACTTCACACAGGGATATTAAGTGTAAATTTCTTTACTAAGCAGATTTCATTCACTTCCTAAGTAGATTGATAGCTTGAGGAAAGATTTAGTAAGTCAGTGAAAGCTTCATATGCATTGCTTGATATAAATGAGATTTGCCAGAATAGATCTGGAACTGCTTTTCTGAAGAACCAATTTTCCCCCTCACCATACCAGGCTGATGAGCTCTGAAAACAGCCTTCTGCAAGCCAGGGAAGAGGAAGGAGTGAAGTACGAGCGGAGCTTTGTGGCGTCGGAGTTCGTGGAGTGGCTGGTGCAGGAGGGCGAGGCGGCGACGCGCAGCGAGGCCGAGCAGCTCGGGCGCAGGCTGCTGGAGCACGGCATCATCCAGCACGGTGAGAAACCCATGCCAGGCGGGGAAACTGCGCCCACTGCAGCCCTGCCTGCAGCTCAGATCACATGGAGCGGTGCTGTGAGGGTCCCCAGGATGAAGTGAGAGATGGCAATTGACTCCAAGTTCTTAGAAGGCTGATTTATTATTTTATGATATTGTGTTATATTAAATGAAAATGATATACTAAAACGATACTAAAGAAAGAGAGACATCAGAAGATGTCTAGCAAGGAATGAATAATAAAAACTCGTCCCAACATAGCTGGACTGGGATTGCTCATTAAGTTAAAACAATTCACATTAAACCAATCATAGATGCACCTGTAGGTAAGCTACCTCCAAACCACATTCCAAGCAATCAGATAACTATTGTTTACATTTCTTTTCTGAGGCTTCTCAGCTTCTCAGGTGAAAAATCCTGGCGAAGGGATTTTTCATAAAATATGACAGAGGGGCCCTTGTCTTTCTGATCACGATATGTTTAGGTTCTAAATCATTTCAGATAGGAGTCTAAGTAACTTTATTCAGTAGAAGTATGGCTTTTTCAAAAGTGCATTGTATTCTGAAAATGCTTCCTCAAATGCAGAATATAGCAGGAATTTGAAACTGTGTAATGACAACTTAAGGATGTGGATGAAAATCAGTACTCCTATCTCAGAATCTTTGCTAGTCAGAGTGACCCTGAGATACGTACAAGCCTCTTTTTCCCAGCCTGGCAGTTGAATAAGGAGTCAAGATTTTTCTGTTCTTGTCCTCAAGGTTGTTTATTATTTCTTATCTATAACATTCTTTCTCTGACCCACCACAGATCTGTCTGGCCCGTTGGGTTGAGGCACACTGCCCGCCCTCGGGGTGGGGTTATCTTTTTATACTAAAAACTACATGTACATTATTTACCATAACTTCCCAATACCTATCACCTATGTTAGACAGTGAGTTTCTATCTTAAACCAATCCAAAAGTGCCAACATCACCCAGAACATGGAGGCTATGGAGAAGAAAAAAGAAGGACAAGGCATGCCCAAATTCCTCCATCTTGGGACCCTGAGCCCCCATTCTAAAACCCCAAAAATCTATTTTTCACCCCATGACTAACTATTAATCTACTTAAACTCTCTTGACTTATAATTCTTCTTATAAAGGTGGTAATTTGCTCCTTGGATCAAAATCAAAGTCACAGGTGTCCTGTGTCCTGGGCTCTATGCCAAGGTGTCTGAGTCCCCTGGGCAGGGGCTCGAGCCATCCAGGACAGCCAGAGGCATGTCCTGGGTTCCAACACTCCTACACTTGTAGTGATTAACCTGTAGAACTTGCCATCTGCAATGTATATAATTGAGGTAAATAGATTTGTGAGGATCAAATAGGGATTAGAACCATAAATAAGCTAATTTCTGTATGCAGGATAAAAATTTCAGGGTCTGTGTATCTCCCTACTTGTAGGCAGAACAGAGCATATCTGATGCTAGAAAAGCAGCTTTACCCCTTGGGCATGTAGCAGAGTTGTTCTAGCAGGAAGGAGGACGTCACTTTTGGCTGAAGTGTTATTGTATTTGTCCTGGTGGTATAACTTCTTTGAGGCAGGAAACAAATATTTCTTCATGGTCCAGTATTAATGTGTCTGGCAAATACACCTTCACCAAGAAGCTCCTTCTGTTAAGGGTGGAGGAGACAGAATTTTCTCTCTCTACTGCCACAAGGGTGAAGAAATTAACACCCCTGGCCCCATTTTACGTGTTGTCATTATCTGTTCTCAATGCACGTTGCCTTTCTGTGACCAGGCATTTCCCACCATAGAAGTGGCAGTACCTCTGGAGCAATGAAGGGATGCCAGGAGATGACAACAGAATGACAGAAGTTGTTACCTACATTACTTAGTGCAAAATGGGAAAATAATCATATCCTGGTGGTCCAAGTGTTGTTGCATTAAACCTAATTCTGACAGAGAGCAAACAGATGATACCAGCAGGCTGTTAGTACAAAGGTGCTGGATTGATTATGTTGCTTGTTACTTCATGAGAAAACCTGGTTTTAATGAATAGAGCAAAGTGGGCATGTAAGTGACCTGCACAGTTCTGTCATGGTTCTAATCATGTTCACGTTAACTTCAATTATTAGAAGCTACTTCTGAATGTTTACAGTGATCAACTTCCAGTTCTATAATTACTCCTGTGCTTCCTATGATTTATGGGGTGCCAACTGCTCAGAGCTTGATGGACAGGAAAGGTATGCTACCCCTCCTCTCTACAGCAGCCATGATTTCATTCCTATTTTTACCTGAACATTTTCTGTGTATTACATATGTGGTAAATTTTCCTTACTGTTCTGGGGTCCCAAACCAGGACACTTAGAAAAAAAGTTTAAAAAAAATATAAGTGAGATTCATGCTGATAAAGATGTTTTTTGCAGAGAAAATAAAGTCAGGACCTAACATTTGCTGCAAAGGTGGTTTTCTTAGATACTGAGATCTTTGCAGAGCTAAGAAAGGCAGGATGTGGCTTTTCTTGCAGATCAACCATTGTTTCATTAACTAAGACAAATGCTCAGCAGGGCACATTTGCAGGGAAATAATTTTGCCCCGTCAAACCAGGTTTTAGGGGTCATTCCTGAGTGACACTGGCCCTGCTCCTGTAGGGATAGTCCTGGCCTTTCTGCAGGTTTGTCCCCTGCCCACCATTTTCTTGTAGGCAAGAGCATGTGCAAAGCTCCTCCTTAGAAAGAGATTTGAAACTCATGAAGTAAAGACAGGGTTCTGGGAATTAGTTGACTGCTGAGGAAGTGGTCTTCTCACTTGTCACCAGGTCATTGCTGCAAGGTACTGTCATCTTCCTCACCCAGTTTTTAATAAAACAAACATAACTGAGTGGGGATTTCACAAGGACTTGATGGGGATGTTGGGAGTAAAGTAAAACTGAATGGTGTCCTTGAGATTTGTCTTCTATGAGTGAACATCTTTGTGCACACTTTCTCCTTTGTGGAAGGGGATTTCATTCATTTCACTGCAGCCATTTGTCTAGATAGTGTTAGGAATATTTATGAAAGTACTGGCAGAATTAACATAGAGCTGGTTTGGGGTTCATCTTAGCAACTGGATATGATCTGTGCACATTGAAGGTCTTGTAATGCTGGCTTCCTCTGAGAAGGGAGCTCAAAATGAGAACTTCTGGTACAGAATTAGGGATATAAATTGTAAAACAGCAGGAAAGGTATTCTCTCCCCACACCCTATCTTACAGAGTTCTAGATCCAAGCTATTTTTCTGTGGCTTAGTACCATAAATTCATTTCACCATACTGTGCTTCCTTTGTTTTGTCTCTCATCAGCAATACCAAAATGTTACTGGACACTAATTGGCATCCTTGTTGGCAGAATCAGCAGAAAGACTCTTGACTGAACAGCAGTGGAGAATAAAACATTTCCTGTCCTAAAGGCAATCTTTTTCTAGCAGTATTGTTTGATATCCACAATATGGAATAAAATAAAACTTGCTGTATTATTCTTATGAATTATTTCCTACCCCACCTAAAGTAATAGAAATAGTTGCATCAATTTGCCAATCTCAGTAGTAATTTTCCAGCCACAGCTGAATTACGCAATGTCTTTTTTCTAATACTGACTTTCATTTCAATTACTCAGAGAAGCTGTATTCTGCAGCTGAGGCACTGTATTCAAAATGGCTTCCTGACACATTTTTCTTCACTTTAATTGGTCTGACACCAACCAGGTTTCACACAGGAAACAAACACCGATGCTAATTTTAAAAGGAAAACAGTGGTTTAAGAGGAATTGCATAAATGTTGCAAAAGCATCAAATTCTCAGCTTTAAAATAATCCTCCTGATCTCTTTGGACCTATGTAACTATACATATTTCCCCTGCCATGCATGAAAATGATGAAATGTATTTAAGTGCTGAATTGCTTCCTGCCAAAATCTCACTGGCCCACACCAATCTCTGAGATTTGCTCCATTGGTTGAAGCATGGTGCTAATAATGCAAAGTTGTGGGTTTGATCCCCATATGGGCCATTCACTTAAGAGTTGGACTCAATGATTCTTGTGGGTCCCTTCCAACTCAGAATATTCTGTGAATCTGTGAAATCATAACCCACAAAACACCATTACAACCATTTTCACAAATAGGACCCAGATTTCCTTTGCTGTGTGTTGGTATCCCATGTAATATGGAATAAAGCCCCCATAAGTAACAGGGAATTTTGCATTTTGCATTTCTTGAAGGCTAATGTTGGGATTGTAGTTGCCAGTAGTTACCTGGCATTTGTGAGCACTGATGGCCTTCATCCAGGATATAGAAATAAAGACTGTGGGAAGAGTTATAAGTTTAGTGATGCACATAAAGGCTGGGACAAAAGGTGTGCAGAACAAATTTCTCAGCTGTAGAAAAGCCCATCTGGTGAGGTATGTAGAGCTTGGTAATGTTAATAGATAAAATTTTCCTCCAGGAGACTGGATCTTTCTTAGTTCTTCTCCATATGAGCATGGTGGGACAGATTAGCTACTGTGGTCAAAATTCACATGCATCAGGAGAATTTCTCTGCTAGCTGCCAGGTAGATGAGGCCAAAGCAAGGATGGTCTGGGGGCAGGTGGAGGACAGTGTGAGCACCCACACATAGTCACAGCCCTTTCTCAGTCTGAAAAACAGAGATACTGAGATGTCCAAGGACAAAAGAGGATATTCACAGAGCTCTTTATGGAGTCATTTTTGGCTCATACTTGCTTATAACCCTTTCCAAAGAGCTTACCCTGCACCTGCAGCCACAACAGCAGAGCACTGCTGACATGACAGGCAGAGTCTTCCTGTCCTCTTCCAAGGACTCATTGGGTATGAAAGCCTGAAGGATGGATAAACATCTGCCTGCCTTGCAGAAACTTTTAAAGTCTGGAATCTCCAGTGCTAAATAAGTTAAATTTTAATCTGGTTAATACTGTTAAGAGAAACCAGTGCTGTCTTAGGATAGCACCTACAACTTGCAAGATAAATATTTGCATTTCTTCCATGGCAGCAACCAAACCATAGCTCACTTATTAATACTTTTCAATATATTGTGGGATGTAAACACACAGGGATTGCCTTGTACCACAGATGGTACCGTGTGTGCTGCCCGTTGAGCCTGTGAGAAATGGGGGCCTGAGCAGCCGAACTCACCTTCTCCTGCCACATCACATTCTGTCTCTTGTAGTTGTGGTTTCCCAAGCTGCTGCTGACCTTCAAGTCCGTGTGCTTGGTGTGATTTCTTCCCTGATGTGCCCCCAGCATCTTCCCTGAGCAGTGACCACAGCACGGTTCAGCAAGAAGCATTTTGCAATGGCTGTCCACTCTGCTCCAGGGGGTTGGGATGTGGATTCCCAGATTCAGACCAGCAGCAGAATAGGTCTGGTGAGGCTTTGCTCTCCGGAATGATTGAGGGGTCTAAGAGTCTCTTTTAGAGATGACAGCCTAGCAGCTATCTTCTTTGGAACCCTTTGGTAAAGGCTTTACTGAAGTCCAGGTAGACCATGGGTTCCAAAAACTGTATTCCCATGGTGTGGATGGGAGCACTCTTCACAGGGCAAAAAATTGGCCGGATCGCCAGGCCTGGAGTATTCCCCAGGGCTCAGTATTGGGGCCAGGACTCATTATTGGGGCCAGCCCTCTTAATTATCTTTGTTAAGGAGATCTTTATCAAGGGATCAAGGGCAGCAAAAGTGACTTTATGGATGACACCAAGTTCATTGAGAGTATTGATCTTCTGGAAGGTAGGAGGGCTCTACAGAGGGATCTGGACAGTCTGGAGTGATGGCCCAAGGCCAGTGGTGTGAGGTTCAACAAGGCCAAGTGCTGGGTCCTGCACTTGGGTAACAACAACCTCATGCAAGGAACCCCATCCAGCACTCCAGGCTTGGAGATGAGTGACTGGAAAGGTGCCCATTGAAAAAGAAGCTGAGCCCAGATGGCCAAGAAGGTCAATGGCATCCTGGGCCTGGATCAGATACAGTGTGGCCAGCAGGACCAGGGCAGGGATTGTCCCCCTGTACTCAGCACTGATGAGGCCACATGTGGAATCCTGTGCCCAGTTCTGGGCTCCTCACTACAAGAAGGACATTGAGGGGCTGGAGTGTGTCCAGAGAAGGGTAACAGAGCTGGGGAAGGGTCTGGAGCACAACTCAGGTGAGGAGCAGCTGAAGGAGCTGGGGGTGTTTAACCTGGAGAAAAGGAGGCTCAGGGGAGACCTTGTAACTCTCTCCAGCTCCCTGAAAGGAGGCTGCAGCCAGGTAAGGGTTGGTCTCTTCTGCCAGAAAACAAGTGAGAGGGCAAGAGGAAAAGACCTCAGATTGCACCAGGGCAAGTTTAGGTTGGGTTTTAGGAAAAATTTCATCTCTGAAAGGTTTGTCTTGAATTGGAACTGCCCAGGGAAGTGATGAAGTCACCATCTCTACAGGAATCTAAAATATGTGTAGATGTGACACTTAAGGACCTGGGTTAGTGGTGAACTTGACAGTGTCAGGTGAATGGTTGAGCTTCATGATCCTAGAGGTCTTCTTCAACCTAAATCATTACATGATTTTGTCAGTCCTAGGATTTTTTTATGGTAAGAAATATGTGGTAACATATCTTAGACATGGTATCAGCATCTTTGGCCTCCACCCTTCTTTAAAGTACCTTTCAACTTTATAAAATTTTATTGAGGTAATTTCACTAGATCAGACTTGGGGAGTTCAAGGTAGACATGTGTTCTGCTGGCTTAGCACAGAAGCAAGTGCTTATCTCCTTTCAAGAGTTAATCTTTTATCTGCAAACTCCACTGTGCAAATTACTTTCTGAGATGAAAACCAGCACTTTGCAGTGACTTAGTGAGAGCAGTAAATGTTGACACATGCTGTGTCCCTGTCTCTGCAGGAAAGTCTTATATCTATATTAAATTGTCCCTATTCTTTGCAAGGACTCTATACCTTTATACAGCAGATTTTTCTTTCTGAAGGTGATCAGTGCATTTTGTTTTAAACATCAAGACACATGATGCAATTGAAAGTTTGTTATAATTGTGGAAGTGGATTATATATCTAACAAAGTATTATTTCCCTTGCTTTTCTTGAAAAGCTTTCCTTCTCTTCTAAAATTGCTGTGAATAATGAAGTCTGTGCTGCTATATTTACCTTAGATGTCCAACTGGTTATGATTAGCTGATTATGATTCACTTGCAAAGTGAAAACTTGCCATGTATGTGAAATGTACTCTTCCTTAATTCAAGATTTCTCTTTTGAACCCCTTTCTTGGAAATATCAACTGCAGATAGAAGCTTACAAGTATCATTGAAGCATACCATAAATCCTTGACTTAATTGATCATATGCTTTCTTCTCCAAAATCAACACATATATTTTTTTAAAACATTTTTTTAGTTAATCTAAAACCTGAATCACATCAGCTCTTGGATATATGCAAGCTTTCATTATGATAAAAATTATAAAACATCACATTTTTACAGATGATGCCTTGATTTATCTCAGTAAAACACAAGCCTTCAGTTAGTCTATGATGTCCTGCAATACAACTTTGTTTTTTTAAATCCTGTTGCCCCCGTGCTGATGCCAGGCAGAAGCACTCACTCGTTTGTGTGGCAGTTCCCATGTGCAGGGACAGTAACCTCACCCACAGTAATTCAGCTGCTTATGCTAAATCTGGAGACCACTTTGCATATTTTTCATGATTTTGCCCCTTAAGAAGTCAAAGAATAAGCACTTTGACTGTAATTGTATAAACCCCTAGATCCTTAGTATGTCAGCTTCTCATTGTGCTCTTGCTGTTGTTGTCTTTATCTACAGCAGGAATGGATTTGGTTTTTGAAAGAGCCACATGCTTTATGTAAATAACATATAAAAAATTCTTTTCATATTAACTATTGAATTTTATTTTTCTGACAGAGAATGGGTTTCAGTTTTTAACAGCTGCATCAAAAAAAAAAAAAAAAGATACCCAGATGGGCCTTTTCATCTTCTGCTTCCCTTGCCACAGACTGTACTTTCCATACTTTATTTGGAAGCAAAGAAAAGCAGTTGGCTATGTTCTGTAAACTTACTAAATTAAAGATGGTAAATCCTCATATACAAACCAAAAAGACTGCTAAATGTGTGTGATTCAACACTGGCTTTTCATGCTAGAGTAAGTAATGTGTATTTGAAAATATACTACAAATAGATGGCAAACTGGCTGGAAAGACAAAATGTATATAGAAAAATGTATCTGCATATCTAATTTAAGGCAGCAGAAATAACATGTTAATGCACTGATCAGAACATACCCCCTCAATAAAAACAGGATACTCTGAATTTCAGTTCCCAAGGAACTTTTTGGCAGTTTACTGTAATCCTGATGCTTTAAAGACAGTATAAAAGTTGTCTAGACTTTCTTTGGACTACATAAATATGCTACAGTTCATTGAAATCCCTCCCTAGTTGTAGCTCAGCTGCAGTTATAGCACAGCTTTTTTTTCTGGAC